ATGGCCTGAACGACAACAAAAGGCAAAAATCGCTTGGCACGGAACGTGTTTAGAATGTTTCGGATATGGAGGAAATGAATGTCCTTCGTATTTACAGAAGAGTCCTCGGACGTCAAAATTGAAGCAGATATTGGCGAAAGCTCGGCACAAAGTTGAAGAATAACGAAAAATACTCCATAGAATATATATACAATTGTACATATCTTTCAAGTTGTATGTGTAACATCAAATTACATCTGTAGCATCGAGTTTTCTTTCATGAAATTCTGCAATGGGATATGATTATGAATTATCAGCAATATCGCAATACGACGGTAAATACTTAAATATTTTTACAAACCAAATACTTAACTGACGATGATATTCTTTGTTTCATTCTCTACGTGTTAATACATCCCATCAATGTTCATCAATAATCCACAAAAGACGTTTTACCATGCATGTATATTAAGCAACAAAGTGATATTTCCATTAACAGAGAATTAAAAAAAACTTTAGTTTAATATTGATGTCAAGTTTTTATTTCAAGCGATCACATACATTGTAACAGACATAAATAGGTACTCTAGCTGTATCATTTATTATATCGATAAACTATACATTTCTTTCGAATACTCGACTCGAGGTCACGCAACGTGAACACATTGATAATAATATATATATATATATATTTTTTTTTTTTTGTTATAAAGATAAATCTTGTTGTAAAGCCCTTGCAATATTTCTCATATTTAAATAAATAAATTTCCGTACAAACTTTGATATCAGCGAATCAGAATACAATAATTCATCTACCAAATTTCGTTAAAACTTTTCGCTAGGAAAGAAAAAAGAATGTATGATAATTATCATTGACGTAACATGCACGATAACGACACAATAACCCGTTAATAGTCTACGAATTGTAAAAATAAACGGAGACAACGCTTTCCATTAAATCATACGATACGTTGAACGAAGTGAAATCGTTTCTCAGTTATTCAGACTCCGAGCAGTCTTATGTATAATCACATACTATCAGCTGTGTAATTATTATCAGATGACAAAACGATACATCTTGAGAAATAATAACTGGAATCTAATAGAATTGTTTTGCTATAAAATAATTGCAACATATAGTCTACAAATCATTTCAAGATACGATGGAAACGTAATGCTTTCTGTGATGCTTTCCGTGAATATTGCGTGTATATAGAAACTCTTACAAACGTCTGCGAAATTTCAATACAAAATCTACGTTGAAAAAACTCCCGGACATCTCTTGTCTTAAATGCGACCTAAGTTTCGCCCTAAAAATGCGCCCCGAGATTATTCGCGACAGTTTCCTTATAAGATGTGATAACCAATGATACCAAACGTGATTTTGGTCATTTACGAGTAGCTCAGAAAAGCCTCTTTATAGTCGTGAAATTTCGAGTTCATCCACCTTCACACGACAGTGATTACGTAATGAATATTTATTATGCGACGATTATTATTGTTTAGTATCATTTATCCTTAACGTTACTATTATTGTTAAAAACGTTATTGTTAACTTGTTTACTTTCGTAGACATGCGTGTCTTAAGGATTTGATGAACGTAATATTGGAGACTTTTTCATTGACAGAGAGAGAGAGAGAGAGAGAGAGA